CTGAAAGGGAGACAATGGATCCACAGTCCGGCATCCTAACCACTGAAAGGGAGACAGTGGATCCACAGTCCAACATCCTAACCACTGAAAGGGAGACAGTGGATCCACAGTCCGGCATCCTAACCACTGAAAGGGAGACAGTGGATCCACAGTCCAGCATGCTAACTACTGAAAGGGAGACAGTGGATCCACAGTCCAGCATGCTAACTACTGAAAGGGAGACAGTGGATCCACAGTCCAGCATGCTAACTACTGAAAGGGAGACAGTGGATCCACAGTCCGACATGCTAGTGATACTAGTTATAAAGTTCACCATAATAATGTCGGGCATTGGTTATGAATGTTCGTATATTTGAAGAGAAAAAAAAAGCTTAGCAATAAATGGACAAAAATGTTTATCAGCACCTAGAAATTTTAGTGACTGTGTCCAGGTGGCGCTTAAAAGTTAATTTCATATTCTGTACAGTTCTATCTGATTTTGAATTAGAAAACATCGAAATATTTTTTTTAATCAATTATTTTCATAGGTTTACTATTTTCCTGTATCTATTTACTATATACATTGTATACTAACCAATCAAAAATTCATAGTGCTCCAAAATTTATATTTTACAATCTTTATTCAAGTTAAGATGTTATTTCAAATCCTTATATATATATATATCTCAAGTCATAGATCCAATGGTAAAAATCATACATTCCCTGTTGTTTTACATTTTGGCTAGGGATATTTTTTTACCACTTTCCAAAATATAGTAGTTTCAGTTAAGTTCCTGTTATATCCATTATCAATGACACTACCTGCCTTTGAGAGACCACTTATATCTTGGAGAGCTGATAAAAGTAGTGTGTCAACTACCACGGATACTTAAACAATTGTCATACCCCCAAAAGTCCAGAATAAAGTTTCACCAGTGCATTTTTATGCCTTTAATCCAAATACGATGGTGATTTTATGAAGAAACTGGGCCCTAAAATGTGAAATTTCACCCTTTAGAATATGTTGGGAAATCCACATCTTTTTTTGTAAGTAGGTCAATGTGACCAAAGGTGAAAGTTCAAAAGGATATCAACAAAGTGCAAAAAGATATCAAGGAAGTGTGAAAAGATTATAAGAGCAAAATCAACAAAGAAGAAAACAGCAAACACAGATTAAAACATATGATATGAATTGGCAAATTCAGAGATAAAACCAGACATGTTTCTCTACATTTGCCCAAGAATTTCAAACCCAAAAACCATTAACTATAAGATATGGAAAAGAAGAACCCATATGGTCTACATCTGTCACTATTACTACTGTGCCAACTAATACAGCAGAACCTTCATGGACTATACCTGTTATATCCTATCTAATCAATTTTCTGAATTTTGCTGGCCACTTCAACAAAGTAGCCCAGTTGAGAAATGAACAGATTACGGTGAGAAAACTATGTTGGAAGTATATCAGGCTCAGTTTTAAATCACTTCCAAAGTGAATGGACAAAATGGTGATCAATAAACCTTTCATTTTGTTGCCCATTTAAACAAGCCTTAACATTAAGCAATCTTACCACTGAGATCCATAAAAACTATCAGGCATTTGTGGCTGTCTCAACAAACAGATTTGTATAGACACACCAGGATGAAGTTTCAGAAGAAAAGTAAGGAGGACGGACAAGACCATAGCTAAACTTGCAGAAGATATGAAAAGACTTGCCAAATTATCTTACCTAGATGTTCCACATAAAATGTTAAATTCTCTGGCATGAGACCAATCCATAGATGCCATTAGTGGACAAGATGTGAATTAGGCTAAAGCAAAGTCAATGTACGTCTTTAACTAAAGCTTTCCTGTTGGAAATAGATCTGGAATCAGCTAAAGTCAACTATAAATAACTAAGGCCACCATCCTGGAATTAATGGATCATCAGATTATGTAGTCTGGAGACATCAATCTCTTTCTGATGGAATTCTAGAAGAAACTAAGACTTATTAGACAACTGTTTACTCAGAATGGAATAACTAAATCATAAGAAAATAAGTGTTTCAACTGTAACTTAAAAGGACATATTGCAAGAAACTGCTCTCAAAAAATTACAAGAAAAGGAAACTGCTATAAATGTGGAAAATATGGACATTACATCAAGGACATGATTCTTGAGGATATGAATACTCCATCTGCCCCAACAGAAATAAATGTATTATTTAAAGTAACCAGTCCATGAGTCAACAGGTTTATTGATGAAAAGCCTTACAGTATTTTCATCAATACTGGTTCAACAAATAAACCAGTATAAAGATGGATTGATGCAAACAGAAAGTGGACATATGTATTGAAAAAGAGAAAAGTTGCCAGTCACCTCACAGTGGGAAACTCCTATAAACAATATGACATGTAGGTAATTAACATCGAGAAAGAATGCATACTGGGAACTGACTTCATATGAAATATGGATGCGAGGTTAAACTAACTAGCTTCAAATAGTTTCATAGTCTACTATTAGGAAATCCTCATGCATTAGACAATGCTTACACCACCAGAGGTTTGACCCAAAGTAGCAATAAAAACTGGCACACGGATTAATGAAGACAGCCAACCTAGAGTTCAACAGAGCATAACCCACAAAAAATATGTGGTATAAACCAAGGATTATCCTCTGTGGTCATCTTTGGCAGGACATTAACAGGAGAAAAGCCAACTGCTTAACTGTGAAGACTTCACCAGAAGTAAGTGGATCTGCTGGAGAGCTTGAGATTCCTGATGAGAACACTTGGAGTCATTAGAGGATTCCCTCGAACACCTGCCTGGACAGAGGTCAACCATGACAAGGCAGCAAGTGAGGATAAAGAACAATAGGTCATCCCATTTTCATACCATAAACCATGAAAGAGAAAGCAACCAAAAAGATCTGGTGACAAAACGATTCAGACATCAAGTCAGTAGAGAAAGAAAGTAAGACTGCCTTATATCTAAGTACTGAATCAACAATTGTAATATTATCTGTATGAATATTAATATTGTTAATTATAAAATAGTTATTTTATTGGTAATTATGGAATCTTAACTTTTGAGTTTAAGATGTTTTGGCATAGTGATGAGAAGAAACTTGGGGAAATTATTGTAAAAATATGGGAACACTAGTCAGTTAGTGAGTCTGTTACAGTGCTTTAGATTGATTATTGAGTTAGCAAGTGTATTACCAAGATTGGAGTTTCTGCTGTACATACAAAAGGAAATTTAAGAAGTGACCATTTAGTTTTATTTATGACTAAAGCCTATTGCTTAGTGAACGTTTAGAACTTATGTTAGAAGAAATAAAATGCCTTCCCTTTCATTAAAATGGCTGGACTTTACATAAGGTTTGCAGAATGATAAAAAGGATAGAAACCATTACAGCAATACTACTTCTAAAGGTTTTATAATTCAGATATTTCAGTTTTCATTGGCTAACGATTGTTTAGGCACAAGGGTAGAAAGCAGTTAGAGTAAATGGCTATAAGTACTAAACTGAATGAAATTTTTGTTACAGATCTAAAACATTTACTTGAGAAGAAAGACAGTGGTTCAAAATACATTAAAATTGGGCCATAGGTGAGTGGAATTTTAGTATAACCATGAAAATTGTTCTACTTTAAGTTAAACATTTGAGACTAGACACCACAGGCTTTCACTGTTTACGTAGTAGATAGTTAGAACACATTTGAGGTCAAAGAAAATTCCAGTTAGAATATATTTGTAGCTCATCAATAGATAGCAAAAGTATAAGTAATCATACAAATCATAGAGTGAATTTAAACAACAGTGGATATGACTTTCGCTTTAAGTTTATGGAAAAGGCTAAAAAGAAGGTAGGAAATTTTCAAGAATAAAGTTGCTTTTAATTCAGGATAACAGATTCTAAGTTGAAAGAAAAAAGAAAACTATGAGGAATAGGCCTAGGTGGCTTAATAGACATAAAACTTGTGATAAACAATGTAGGTTTAGGAAATTTAAACTGATGGTCAGGATGGAAAATTACAGGATTATAGAAGAAGTTAGAGAATTAGTTAATAAGGAAAGTGGGATATCAAAAAGGAATCTTGAAGAACATTTAGCAGTATGGTTTTCTTTAGATACATTAAAGGTAAGCCGAATCTGAGGATGGGAACTGAATCTTTGAGGAATGATGGTAGAGTTTTTATTGATGACTATGAGCTAACTAACCTCTTTTCTAAACAATATTTTTCATTAGTTTTTCAATTGGAAAGATACTGACTGGATTCCTGACCCGGAGGAATTTGTTTGGAGGAAAATGTTGGGGGGGGGGGGGAGTGCAATACAGACATAAATCCAGAACTTGTTAGAAAAAACAAAATATTAGAGTTTGAAAAGAGATAAGGCTCCTGGACCTGATAATATTTAAACTTAAAACTATAATAAAAGAGGTTAAGAGTCAGATTTCTGAGACACTTGCTTCAATTTTTGGTAAATTATTAGACAGATTCTAGAAGACTGATGGGTGTGTAATATCACTCCAATCTTTAAAGAAAAAGATGTGAATTGATCAGGGAGTTTTAGGCCTTATATACTTTAGTAGAGGGGAAAGCTTTAGATTGTCTGATTAAAAGATTCTTTTCAAAATTATATTATAAAATGGATTTACAAAAAGAGATATCCTGTTTATGTTCTATAATCTATACAATAAAATGGCAATCACTCTGCTGTTACCACTGCCTCATGTGAGTGCGACTCTCGAGTCTTATACACTGACAATATGACAGTGCCATTATACATATTAATTTACGATAAAAATTAAAATTAGATTCTTAATTTGAAAGATGTCTTCACTTACATTATCACCTTCACAATGTCTATGTGTACAAACACTCAGTAACAGTGAGACTGAGAGAGGCAAGTAACAACTTAAATATAAATTTGCTCAATAACATCTTACATCATGACTGTCTCTAACTTGTATGTAAAAGCATATACGATGAACATTGCATGTAGCGTCCTCTATTGTTGTGTAAAAAAATTCCATTAATTTTATGAATTTTGTGATGTTATGTATTAAGTCTAAGAAAGATTGTGCTTGGCTCATCGTGATGCTAACCAGTTCTCGGATAGACCAGTGGCATGTCCATCACGATGGCGTGGGGAGCAAGTCCCCATTGGAGAGCTATGCCTCTCGTCTAGAATATCAATGTTTAGGTCTTTTAGGATTTTTAAATTCTCCCTACTTTATGACACCCACTGACATGAAAGTGTTACTTTTTTGGAAGGACGCGGAATCCATACTATGAAACTTAAACCGAAAGAAGTATATTCAATCAAATGAGACCTAGGGGATGAATTTAGTAATTTATAATTTGAAACAGCATCAGACCTTAGTGAAGTTGTGTAAAGAGAACCTGATATAGTTTCAGCTTTATTTGGAGGGAGGGCAATTATAAAGAACAACTAGATACTTCTTAAAGGAAAAAAAAACCACATATTTCTTTTATCTTTATTAACATTTGACTCACTTCTACCCCCCCCCCCAACCCAACCAACTCTTTGCCCCTTCTGTTCTCTCACACACAAAATCCTCGAAACGCTACTGGCTTAGATTAGATCTCGAAATCCACTACCCACTAGTGGAACAGGGTAAGTCTATAGCTTTACAACGCTGATACCAGAGGTTCGATTCCCCTCGGTGGACACAACAAATGGTCTGATGAGTCTTTCTATATGAAAAACACACACAAAATATTCATTTTCACCATATTTATTTTACTTCTTCATTTTCTAACTACCCCTAACATTTTTAACTTTGCAGCTTTTAAAATGCACAATATACTTCTTAAAATCAAAATGAAGTTATTAGATATGTATTCATAACAAAATTATTTATAAGTTACATCTATTTTTAACAAACACTCTTTTATGTGCAACGATGGGTCAGCGGTAAGTTTATAGAGTTGAAATCCGGGGTTTGATTCTCCACAGTGGACAGGGCGCAAACAGCTCATTGTTTAGCTTTGTGCTAAAAACAAACAAACAAAAACATATTTGAATAAATTGATACAAAATATTAATTCGTTTATACTATTTTTGATAATTACGTGATTGGTTCACCTGTTGGTTGTTTCTTCAAGCTCATGTGCAGTGCTTTTTTCAACTTGTATCAACGATGGCAGTAGTAAGTTAACTTAAAGTTTGTTTTATTTGAAATTAATTATTAGTATATTGAAGAGAAAAAAATGTTAGAGTATAACAATATAGGTTTTAAAATGTTGTATATCACACAATTTGCTAACTGATGACATAAGAACATTCCACTCTATGTGAATAATATTATACTTATGTTGTTTTATATATATATATATATATATATATATATATATATTTAATGCCGCGTGGTATTAGCTTGAGCTGAGGTTGTATTTCACGTGGTTGTAGGAGAATTCACTCCGGTATTACAACTTCCGGTAATTTCATCCCTTGTAATGAATGTCAAAAACTGTTTTACTTTAACTTTACTTTTAGTGTTCCAACAACAATTCGGAAGAATACCATAATGTACTTCAATTTCTGAGACTGAGAAAAGGGGCGGGTACGTTATGGAATCGAACATGATTTCTACTCTTTTTACGTGCTATTAAATTTATGAAATATTTAGGTATGTCACATTGTTTAAAATCATGTTCATCCACACTTTAAAATTTACACTGAAACCACAAAATTGATAAAACATACCAAATATATGGACATTGTTCAAATAACTCTCACTCTCAGTAGTATGACTAATCTTACTTTTAGAACAGTAGGCCATGTACTTATTGTAGTATATATATATATATCTTAAAATGTCATTTAAAAAATTAGAAGCAGGAAAAGGGTAATAACAGCTCACCATTATATGACTACATACAGTAAACACCAAAAAGGAAAAATGTTGGAAAGGAATGCTACTAAAAGTGACAATAATTTACTGCTTAATAAAGAAACTATGTAATATATTTTATGGCATTACTCATTATTTTTTTAATAATAAAATAGAAAAAAAAATTTAAAGGGAAATTATATACAGGCTCTTCAATTTCAGTGCCATAATTTAAATTTTTGGTGTTTAATACAACTCTTAGGTGACTGGTAAGATAAAACAATGAGCAGGAAATAATATTCAACTACTCATAATGGTAGATTTGGTTAAGAACATAAAAGTGGGTTTCACTTCTATTCATAATTTGAAAACAACTATGTTTGTATTCAAATACTATACAACCTTGCTTTTAAATTGAACAAATTACTTTGGTAACTACACATCATAGTTTGCACAAAAATATGTAAATATTTTGGTTAATAAAAATGTCAAAAATGTGACACATAACCACAAATTCAGGTTTTTGGTTTGAATGTGTTTTTATAAATTTTCGTCTCATGATCCAAGGCTGTATTTTAAAATTCTTCATGGTACTTTAGATATTTTCTTGTTAACTGACATTGGAATTATTTAACATTTGAAAAAGTAATACCAATTGCAGGGAGAGTCAGTAAGCAATAATGTACCTTTTTATTATGTAATTTTAAGGTTTTGTGTGGTAATAAATAATATATCAATATGTATGAAACTACTACGTTACTAAAAATGTGTTACACTAATTTTAGCTGAACTTTGTTAGTAGATTCACGATAAGGAAATTGGGTACAATAATGATGGTATATGATTTAAACTGTATTTGTTTTCCTTGTTCAGTCTTATTTTTCTGAATATCAAGGCACACAACAACAGAGTAACTTTGTGGTTAAAGGAAGCAGCCTTGTAAAAAAAATCCAATACACTGATATGGGAAAAAAATGTCCCTTCTTCTAAAACAGTGCTAAAAATAACTAATTAAAAGCCAAGCCCCCTTTTTTATTTATTATTCAAGTTTTCTAAGATTGCAATACCTTAACAAGAGAACTCGTACAATTAGGCCTGTTATTAGTTTCTAAACTCCTTAGACCCATTGTTTTAAAAATATGGATTGCAGTGGCAATCTTCCAGTCATTAAATCCTCATTCAACTTTTTGCTAAGCTTCTTTGAATTCAAGGTTTTGGGATAAATCTTGCAGGCACAAAAGCTTTATTATATCTTTTTTTTTAGAACAGCTACATCAGCATGCATACAGTTCCCACAAAGCCTTAAAAATACAAAAACAATTTCATACTATACAAAAAATGAAAGACGAAAAATTAGAGATTTTGTGCTCAATTAGAAATAATACACTTTTAGGTTTTTTCAAAAAATCATCTCATATTGGACCAGCCTGTTTTTACATGATTTTCATCAGAAAGTGTTACTTATGGTTAACTCATGAAAGAGTTTTGTTTTTTTGCCATATGTTATATTTTAATCAAAAACAAATTTTAAACATGTGTTTTCTTATAATTAGTTAGGTAACATCAAGAAAAAAAATGTTAAACATCTCCAGAAAGGAAAGGGCAAAAGAAAGAAGACACAGCTAAAGTTTATTGTGGATTGCAGTCACCCAGTTGAAGATGAAATCATGGATGTTGACAGTTTTGTAAGATTATAATTTTCCTCTTATTTGTTGTTACTGCTTTTAGAATACTTTTTTTTTTCTCTTAGAAAGATTATTATCTTAGTGTTTTATTTCAGTGAAGAAATTATTCACAAATAACAAGTATACATATAAAACCAGAACTTATCTCACAAATTCCTTGAAGATTAGATCTTTGAAGAAAGTTTTATCAAAAAGGTATTGCATATTGCAGTGTCATATATTTACACACACACATGTATGATCAAACTAGGTGTAAAGTGAAAATTCGAGAATTAAAGTGAAACAATTAATAAATATAATTAATAACTAAAGTTTTTGTGAGCATACATTTTCTGTGAAAGAACTTTGGTTCAAAAATGACAACCTAAAGTATGTTTAAGTATATATATATGTGTGTGTGTGTGTGTGTGTATGGTTTTACTGTTGTTTCATTTGACTTAATGATGAAATTATTTTAATCTTTTTTCTTGACAGGAAAAGTATTTGAAAGAAAGGATAAAAGTCAGTGGAAAAACTAACAACCTTGGGAATGTGGTAACTGTTGAAAAAAGTAAAACAAAATTGTTGATTAATGCAGATATGCAGTTCTCAAAAAGGTTAGTGTAAGTGTTAATATTATAGCATTGCACATGGATTGTCATATTTTTTTGTGCAGAATTAAAATGTATTAATAAACCTTTCATTAGGTCAACTTGCAGTAGACTTTCATGTGAATGACAATAAAAATTAAACAGAAACTGGCATCGTTATCAATAAAAATTGTTTTCACCAAAGCTTAATTTTGTTTCATTATTGTATGTTCTTGTAGAGAAAAGAAATCACATTAATTAAATTTGAAATTTTTTAAATGTAGATTTAATAACTTACAAAAACAGTATGATTTAAATTTTGCATTATTGAAGATTTTTAAATCTCATTGATTGTTTTGTTCCCCAATACTTGGACACATCAAAAAAATTAAAGGTTGTTCTAGCTGCATGTAGATGACTGGAAAACTCTTACTGTATTTCTTTAATTGTAAATATAATATTAAAAGATTTACAGTTGTCAAGTTTTGTAATATTTTAGCTGTCTTGGTTTCTTTTTTTATTTTGTTGACTCAACTTATGAGTGAAAACTTTAATTTGGTTGGACGTACATCAGATGTACATTAACTTCCAGACAGTTATCAAATTTGTTAATTTTTTTTATATGATACACAGCAGGGGTGTTAAATTTTTGAAAAAAAAGTTTGAAAAATCTATCCCCCCCTCCCAGCCCCACAAAACACACATAAAAACCTAACTTTTAAAATTTTGCTTTTATTTAGCAGTAACTTAAATCAGTACAATGACATTGACACATCCATTTTGTCGGGAATAGTGTATACTCATTTAGATCAACATAATTTAGGCACATCCTGTAGCTATAAATAAAAGCATTCCTCATTGTTGAATGGTATCTATGATGTATTGATGTCACTGTCATCTTTCAGAGCATGGGGGTGATTTTTTCCATTTTCCTTAAGAAGTAAAATGTAAATTGGGGTGCTTTTATTTTTCAAATAAAATGACAGCTTTTGTATGTATACATACATGTTGCACTTCGTCGCATTTGGTGTTTGATTTTTCTTAACCACCTCACAAACCTGTCATCAAGCTAGCATACCTTAACCATTTTACTGCTCAATTCATTTTCAGGCTGATTCTCAAAAAGTGTCAATTATCCACCAAAAAAAAATAAAAGTGAGAATTTGGCCCTTTCTGTTACTTTTTCAATATTTAAAGAAGCTCTATTTTCTATATGTGACAGTAATATTCCTTGAAAAATAACGATTTAAACAAAAAACTTAGAAGAAAAGTGTTCTCCAGTAAATGGCATAAATAATAGACAAAACTAAGTCAATAAGAAGCCAAAATTATTACTAATTATTTAGATAACAATATCCAAGATATAAAAAAGCTGTCTTTATATACATTCTACGTGTGTTCCTGCAAAGTTGGCAATTTTGTAATGAGGCATGTAAACATCCAAGTTTCGTGGCGTAGAACATAGATGGCAGAAGCATGCAGGTTTGACGATTGTTTCAAGTACAGGGGGATATTCCCACATGTTGCAGTGGAGGGAAGTTTTTTTTGGTAGACATGGGTATAAATGTTTATTCGGATATATCAGAACTACGTAGGAAAAGGGTTAATAGTGATCCAACCTTCCAAATCCCTGACCTAACCACATCTCACAAACTTGTCATGAAGCTAGCATATTTTAATGGTCCAACTTATAGAAAATATACTGGATATATATATATATATATGTGTGTATCTAATAGACCACACTGCAGCTCCAACTGAAAAAAATAAATAATTCCTTAATAGATAATTCAATCTGCACAGTAATAACATAAAACATATTATAATAGGCCTATACCATATAAGAAAATTATATAGCTTTACCTATGTATATCTGACACACCACATTGCTAGCATGCAGAAGTGTGACTACATACTCCCTCTTCAGTACGGACTAGCTGCTTGGTGCATGCTGAGGTGATTCAATTTAAAGGATAATACAAATGTCTAGCATCCTACAGTAAATAACCTGGCAATGTACATTGCAACCAAACGAAAAGTACAGTAAGCAAAAACTTACAAAGTTTGTTTTTAATTTTAACTTTTTCACACCATGAGTAATATTGTTAACATTACTAAAGAAATAATTTGGGCACGTTCTTATGTAGCTCCAGAATCAGGTAATTTAAAGCCTTGTTACCATATTTTGACCTGATAAAGAAACCACGGTATACATTAATATTGCTGTGGAATATATATATATAAATAATTTTTGTAACTTTTTATTATATTATCTATGTTCTTCATAGAGCTGGCAGTCAAACTTCACTGGGCTCATGCCATAGACAAAAGCAGTGTTGTAATAACATTGTTGCATGAATTTAAATGTTTCTTATTGTGTGTGTGTGTAACTGAGGGTTTGTGAATTAAAGAAACAGGTGTATGTTTGTATCTGCTTTTGGTTTAGAGGCACGTGTTTTCAACTGTTTGTTTGTATTTCTAGACTTCTACAGTTCAGAATTTTCAGGTTGTGTGACTCTTGAAGTCCACCTAGTGTTCTTCTAGCAAATTAACTAACGGTGTCAAAAAACATTAATTAACCAATGTATAAATTACAATAGTAAAACTTGTCTTTAGGATATGTTTTGTTGTCCCGAGTCAGTGTTCCCATTGGTCAGGGAATCTTTAACTTTAAATAATGTCAAAGAACTTTATACTGAGTTGGGAAATTAGGTAACGTTAGCCAAAAGTCGGGGAATTCGTTACCATTTAGGGAAATTTCAGTATGGAAGTATGCACGTTCAATTTGGTTTTCTCATAATGTACATGGCTATTGAAGTTTTCTTAATTATTTTAAACCAGTCATATAAGTTGGTGAAAGATAATAATACTGTTTTCAGGTGAAGGCAAGGTTTTATTGTAAAAATGTGTGTTATATATAGAAACGAAATTATGTGTACATGTTTCTGTTAAATAATTAATAATTTATTTAATTTGACACAAAACTTTTGGTCAGTGAATTTTTCAGTCCACTGACCTATGTTTGTTGGACCAATATGAATTCCAAACCCATGAATAGTTATTCCCAGTTTGTTTTTTCTCTCCTTTAATACCTGCAGTATATTTTCACAAATGTTTTGGTTTTGTGAAATCAATGTTACATCTTTTCAGAAAATTGGCAAATTGGGAATTTAAATAGATTAGTTTATTCCATTACATCCATGTTTGTGAAATGTACATCTAACAATACTTGTTTTCCTTTTTTGTTTCCAGGTATCTTAAATACTTAACAAAAAAATATCTGAAAAAGAACAGTCTACGTGATTGGTTAAGAGTTGTAGCTGCAAGTAAAGATTCATATGAATTAAGATACTTCCAGATCAACAATGAAGAGGAGGAAGATGAAGAAGATAATGAATAAGTTTAAATTAAAATCAATCATTCTCTTGTAAATTTTCTAATGTTGATTTTGTGAGACTTCATAACTTGTATTTCTCTATATCTGTCTTGACATGAATGTGAAGCTACTGTTAACTTCATAAGATTTCATTTCTTGTATTTCTCTATATCTAACTCTCTGATTGAAGTTATTGTTGACTTTGTGAGACTTCATAACTTGTATTTCTCTATATCTGTCTTGACTCTCTGCTGTGAAGCTATTGTTGACTTTTTAAGTCTTCATAACTTGTATTTCTCTGTCTAACTCTCTGATATGAAGTTATTGTTGATTTTGTAAGACTTCATAACTTGTATTTCTCTATATCTGTCTTGACTCTCTGCTGTGAAGCTATTGTTGACTTTGTAAGACTTCATAACTTGTATTTCTCTATTTGTCTAACTCTCTGCTGTGAAGCTATTGTTAACTTTTGACTCCACGCCTAATGATCTGTGTGTAGACAGTTACAAACTAAAAGGTCCCGTTAATAACAAAGTTCTGTGAAACAACTGATGACTTTGTATGATTTTGTTTAATGTACCTTCTCTATAGCTGTCACAATTTCACACCCAATGACCCCATAATGGGTCAAAGGTTCACCATCCACATTCTTTCAAATCAATATGATGTAAACCTACTGCAACTTCCTAGTGAATGTTTAATAGTTATCTCTTATTCTTGAGTAAATAAAAACAGCATGTACATCTACAGTGCTCATAAACACACGTACTAATACAAATTAAAAATACAAGACACACATCATGATCTATTGAGAGTTTAGCTACATAAATAAGATACCTATTTAATTGTTAATTCATAGCTTCTCCAAGTACTTCTTTCATATACATAAAATATTTTTTGTGATATTAACTGTTTTAAGTGGAAAATTATATTAAATAAGCTGGAAGAACTGCAAACAAAGTTTTATGTAAATATGCATGTAAGTGGAGAGAGACAAGTTTCTTAGAGAACCAGCCAAACGTGAATAGCGCTCAATACTCAAATATCATGTTACTTCAAATCAAACAGATAATCATAGCATCAAAAATATATGTACAGTAAACACTTATATTCTTCAACTTTAAAATGGTAAAAGAGTTTTCATCACTCCAACTGCAGTGACATTATGATTTTGCAACAAAATCAACTTCGATATGTGCTTAATAAATTAAGATTTTACTATTGAATAATGCTGAGCTGCTATGTATAATATGACAGAAAGAAAATAAAACTGCACGTCATCTACTGCTTTGGGGTGATATAGGAATGAGACCGTTAAAACAATTTAACAAATGAAGTCGTTTCTTCAGCTATATCGGGCAATAAATTTTACTGTACAAGTTTCATCTAATTACCTATGGCACGTACCTGAGAGAGACGAAGTTCTACGGATTTGTTTGATGAGCGGATTATGTTTTAGTTAAGTGACTACACTGAAGAAAAACTGACATTTACTTAAAAACAGTCAAGTATTTTAGGCTTTATAACACCACTCTGTGTATGCTTGGATACCCTTGATTACCAACAATTGGCCAGGTTTGTAACATCATAATCACTCAAGTTCTCAGACCAATAGAAAGGGATCATACATGAAGTTACTACGAAAAACAAAAGAAAACTTAAATCCACTACTCAAGTAGTTCATTGTTTTCAAGTCTTTCCAACTTTGTTTACAACTGTATTTCCTGTGTGCTTGGCTACAAAAAGAAAGAAGCAATTTTCTTTACACACTCTCGAATGAAATTACCCAATACAACCATCACCAGATACAACCATGCTGTACAAGGAAAATATGCACATATCCTTATTGTATTGTCTGTCTTGCCATTTACTTGATAATCAAAGATTTTTTTCACACATTTTGGAACTAGCTCTTACTCGGTTTAGAATTATTTTTTTGTGCCATTATCACAAGTCACGTCATCCATGACAAGTTTTCAAGGTTATTAAAGACATTTACCAACAAGATATACGTAGTTATTTATACAAACATACTTTTTAGAGAAAACATGTTCATCAGTGCAAGTACCTATCAGCACACTTACAAAACCATACTTCCTATGCATACTTTAGTGTACTGCATTAATCCATAACCCTAAAGTTCCCATATATATATATCATCGTCTTTTTTGAACACATTTTTCTATTTATGCGTTCACGTTAATAACTTTGTTGGTTACAGAGTGCCTATATGAACATACAAATCACAAGAGATTTACATAAAAATACCATCAATATTACAATTAATCCCACTAATTACAGTTGGGATTCCTGAAGAATTGTACACAGGAAATTAGTGATTTCATCAAACATAAAATCAACAGTAGGGGGCATTATGTGGCCCCACCAGTGATAAGAAGTAAAACAAAAACTAGTTAGTAAATCGAGGGTTAAAACTCCACACATCATCTAAGATACTGTACCTTCTTCATATGACTAATTAAGGTTCAGACATTAAATTCCAATCTTCTTTGTTTGTGTGTGTCTGCACGTTAAAAATATTCTGAAATCTTACATACCAGAATTAGGAAACCTACTGCAATAGCTATCTGTATTCTCACAAGATTTGAAGCTACTAACCTTGAGGTTAAGATCACAGCTTTATATATTATTTGCTGAAAGTTTTTAGTGCTCGGACATTCTAGAGAGTAATTAACAGATAGAGGTACAAATACAGGAATTCTTACCACCTACCTTTAGACTGTGTAATAGATATTTGACTTGATAAAGCATACTGATGAAACTTATCAGTTTATTTATTTTATCAAACACAGTATATTATCTTCAGACATTATCTGCATCATACCACAAATTCCTTAGCCCCGTTATAAAATTATACTAGTCTAGTTGCTGACAACAGATTACAGAACTGAATACGTCTACAGTGACCACAACATTACATCATAGAGATGTCTCAAAGTAAAATACAAGTTTCCATTAGCACTTTGGCATATTGGTTATAATTAAACACTTTAATGAGGAAGCTTTTAGTTTATGCTGAAATCACTACTGGATATGAAATGGTGATACATATGAATAACACAAGAGAAAAATTATAACAGAGTAGCATATATAGCTATATCAGTCTATCTCTCTGCTGTGAAGCTAATGTTGACTTTGTAAGACTTCATATCTTGTATTTCTCTATATCTGTCTTGACTCTGATGTGAAGCTGTTAACCCCTTCTGTGTCAGTTTTTTTTCTTTTTTGTGGAAATGAGTTAAAAAATTCAAGGTTTCTGTTTTGCTTTTTCATAGTCTATACTTATATATTACTGTAACAAAAGTTCTTTTATGAACTGTTATTATATTTTTGCACAAAATATGCTTGATAAATAAATGTTACATATCTGGATCTATATATGATATATATTATTTTAATGAAACTACAGTAACAAATAGGAATGCTTTTTCCTTTGTTTGTGCTACATAATTCAAAATAAGTCTGATAGAAATCACCATAATCGGCATTGAAAATGCCAATTATAACACTGGTTATAATATGCATTTGCCTGGTTCTCTAAGTCACCACTGTAGTAAGTCATAAACTAATACAAATGACAGAAGACAATTGGTCAAAAGGGGTTAATTAATGTAAATAAACAGTGACAATGCTTCATCAGAGTAGATTTGTTTTATGATATCTTTCAAGAAGAGAAGTTATTCATATAAAAAACAAGTTTAACTATTGTTGAACCCTGATTGTAGCGGCATATTCATTTTAAACCGTTACAATGTAATTTTATTTCTATCTCTGTATAGGGTTCCCGCCCTTTCAGACATTACACTGCTGACAGGATCACAGTTTTTTTACCACTGCATGATCAATTTCGGCCATGTTACACAAACATCCAGAACATTACACAAACATCTAAAACATTACACAAACATCTAAAACATTATACAAACATCTAAAGCATTATACAAACATCTAGGCTGTCTCCTATAAAAGAAATCTTTAAGCCTCAGTTTAAAAGATAGCACCAAGCTCAGTTTTGAGAATAGGATCGGCAATCACGGTGATGTAAGTGTTGAATTACACCCAATGCTGTGTTATTGTGAATTTTATAGATACTGTATATTGAGTAGCCATCCTTGAAGCTGACTATAAGGAATGGCTAGAATTGTGCAAGAAGGAGATGGCAAAAATGATGGGGGATTCTAGACAAAAGTGAGGAAGAAATTTTGTAGTTCTATATTTTATTTAGAAAATATTTAGTTTCAGATAAAGTATGCAACATCGATGGCCCACCAGAGTTTAGGGTTGTCACTGTGGAAGATGGTCATAGAAATGTCACAACCCCAACTCCATCAGAAATGGAGGGGGGGAAAGGTATATTAATATAATCAATTCATAATTGTTAATTTAAATCTTGTAGGGTGTGCAGAATGTCACTCTAAGAGGAAATCTGACCAGCTGCAGCAAACCCCGACCAGCCTTACTATGCCAAGTAGAGGAGGAGTAGGAGGAAAGGAAAAATCTAACAACTATAAGAAATATTAAAAATGCTTGTTTATAAAGTATAGCACACATGTATCAATCTACTGAAGGCTTAATATGGTCAGCTAGTAACTCACCAACCACATTTGTGTGCTGCATGTTGATCTCGAAGGCCACGAGGAAGAAGATAGCCTTGTTCAGTGAAGGAGTCAGAGTGCAGCCGAGGCCGATAACTTGACGTGCGAAACCTTGCCCCTCCTGAAGAATGAGACGATGAGCTTGATGGCGTGGACGGTCCTGTTCTTCGAAGCCCAAAGCCACCACTTGGACTATGTCTCCAACGAGACATTTCCCAAGTGGGATCACTTGCCGAGAGTTGTGGCCTCTTCCTTTGAGTTCCACGTTCAGTGAAGCTATGACTTCCAAACTTTGCTTTAGAAAGGGCTTGACCTTTTTTCCTACTTTCAACTTGTAGTCCAACAGGTTCAGGTTTTTCTTCTGAACTGGAGCTACTGGTTTTGGAATTCATTCTTTTTTTATCTCTCATGTCCTTTTTTAGGTTGATATTTGTGACCGACAGACCAGCCATACGAGCATTAACTTCATCTTCAATGTTTGTTCGACTGTGTTTTAAAACAGGAGTTCTTGCTTTAGCCATTTTAGTGTTAGTTCACTAATAAGAAGCTACTTATTGTTGTTAAACCAATGAACATTTGCAAGTTTTCACCTAAAAAATAGGAAACAAAAAATTCTTAAAAAACTTTTTTTTAAATTTTCACAATGTACTACTCACTTAACACACAAAGAATTACTTTAGATTTCAAGCTGCTTAAACAAATAACTTATAAATTGATTTTTGCAAACGCAGTACCAAGATATTATTCATTTCTACAATTTAACGTGCCCATTAGTAGCATCTACAGTAGAAGATCTCCAATTGGTCAAGCTAATCATTCAAATATCTTCTCTCGAAGCCTTTACTCAGAGAACTGTTTCAAATGATGAAAGTAAAAACTTTTACTGAATTATAAGAACCTACAATTTTATGACAGCAATGTTATTAAATAATAATAAAACAAACAATAAAACCCTAAATTATTTTACTGTCAATGACCAGTTATTAATTTTCTAGCCATAATGATTAGCTATTTATTCAAATACATAATATTATAACATTACAGTTTTTAGGAGCTTATTCGATAAAAATTCAAAAGTACCTAAATAAAAAATAGTGGGAAACACTATGGTTAATTATTATCCATAAAGTACATGTGTGTTCAGTACAAGTTTCACCCCTAACCTATGCAGGAAACACCAGGTTTAACAGTTAATATTATGAATAAAATATTTGTGTTTTCAGTACAAGTTTCACCCATAACCTATGCAGGAAACACCAGGTTTAACAGTTAGTAATATGAATAAAATATTTGTGTTTTCAGTACAAGTTTCACCCATAACCTATGCAGGAAACACCAAGTTTAACAGTTAGTAATATGAATAAGAGATTTGTGTTTTCAGTACAAGTTTCACCCATAACCTATGCAGGAAACACCAGGTTTAACAGTTAGTATTATGAATAAAATATTTGTTTTTTCAGTACAAGTTTCACCCATAACCTATGCAGGAAACACCAGTGTTAACAGTTGGTATCATGTATAAGGTATGTTCATATAAGTTTCACTTGTATCTTGAGTGAAAAATGTCAAAATGGATGAGTGATGATTAGTATGAAAAAAGTAATGTTTTGTATAAGATTCATCATGGTTTGGCACAAATCACAGAAAAATTTCCTAGAAATAAAGGTAAATACAATCACTCCAATAAGTTTGAGATATGCCAAGACTGTTACAACAAGAGATAGCTTCCTGCATAACTGGTTTATCTTGTTGTATTTCCTTTTATTAATATACACGTTATGTTTGACTGGCAAACTACATTAACAATACTCTCACTGGAATGGGTCATGATAGTTACTGAAAAACACAAAACTATATACTCAACTTGGATGACAGCAATTACATATGACATGTTCATCTGCAGAATTTTAACTACTTTCATTAAAATATTTTCAACTTCTACACTTTACTGCAACAAACAGGAAACTACACTATGGAAAACAAATAAAACCCTAGAGCATTATTTAACCTATTCTGTGATTTTTCCAAGACAACTCAAGCATCCTCCACGTTTCAAAACATAGTTGCCAAAATTCATTCGGGTAACCCGTTTCTTACAATATTTTTTATTATCCGCCCGAATTTATCAGCATTTTATCATGTATTATAATAAGTGTTCACTAGATGGCATTGAAAATGCTTTTTATGGTGATTTCTATCAGATTTATTTTGAATTATGTAGCACGGACAAAGAAGAAAGCATTCCTATTTGTTACTGTAGTTTCATTAGAATAATATATATCGCGTACAAATCCAGATATGTAACATTTATTTATCGAGCATATTTTGTGCAGAAATATAATAACAGTTCATAAAAGAACTTTTGTTTCAATAATATATAAGTATAGACTACGAAAAAAGCAAAATAAAAACTTGACTTTTTTTTAACTCATTTCCAAAAAAATAAAAAAAGCCTGACACAGAATGGGTTCACAGAAAACACAACACACACACATTGTGATCTATTGAGAGTTTAGTTACATAAATTCATAGCTTCTCTGTGTACTTCTTTCATGTACATCAAGTTTTTTTTTGTGATATTAACTGTTTTAAATGGAAAATTGTAGCAAAAAAAGCTGGAAGGACTGCTCACAGAGTTTATGTGAATATGCATGTAAGTGGTGAGAGACAAGTTTCACATTTTACACATTGTTTTCATTTGAATGTCTTAGTTTAAAACAATTCTGAAAATCCTGTAAAAAGAGAAAATATCAAACCAATAGTACTAGAGATTATTTCAGTGGAGACCATAAATAGTAAAAAGTAGTGCTAAGGGTCTGGAAAAACTTACTTAACTAATACAAGGCTTAGTAAAAATGTACTTTGTGATCAGAAAGTACAATGTTACACACCTTGAACATATAGCCTGAAAAAATAAAATAAAAAAATAAATTTTTGATGAAATAAATAATTTTGGAGTGATTACAGCCAAACAGTCTTGAATAAAACTGCTCAGTGCATCAAAATTCAAGCAAATAAACAATCATATACAATTGAAGGATCATTTTTACAACTTTTGTTCAGATTAGGTATATGGGCATCAAGGAAGGAAAACTAGAATTATTATCTATTTACAAACTAATCAAAATGCAAGATGTAAATAAAATTCAATTTCTTAAAAAAAAAAAAGAAAAAAGAGAGAAGTGCCGAGGGATCATGTGATTAGTGGTTTAATGATGGTGACCAGTGAAATGTCTTAAGCATTGGAATACGAGTAGTTTTGGTGACAGAGAAGTCACTGTAAAAATTCTACCTGAATCATTGTATGTACACATAATTCTATCAAGACGATAATAAACTATTTAAGGTTCTTATGTTTAATGCTGTTTTCTCAATAATCAACTTTTCTAGTCATTGCCAAAAGTAAAAGTCATTCTTATGTGTTAATTCTACTATAACGTTCTGTCGTAATATTGCTACATCATCATTACATGAGCCTACATTTACTTTTATTTTGTAACTAACTGCAAGAAACAAGAAATTATGTTACAGAAAATTAATAAAACTTCAGAGATGAAGCATAATGTTGTACAACAGATAATAGAAAAAACACTCACAAAAAATATACAAGTAGATGTGACTGTAAACTATTTTAAATTATTAAGTTTTGGAATCAACAACAAAAAACAAGTTATTCAACAATTACAAAACACAGTTAATAAACAAGTGCCTGGTCAGGACTTCAAATCAATATTAATAACAATTTCTCATAAATATTATTAAATCAATATAATAATGAAATCAGGAAAAATAACCAGAAAGGAAGAATCTAATTCCAAAAAAAGTACACCAAATACAATATTCCAAAAATACCTTTCAATATCGAGTGACAAACAGCAATAACTATGTCCTTCAATAACTGTCTTGTGACTCTCTCTTTCTCTTAGTGAAGCTTCCATCAGGATATTTATTCACAGAGTAAGTCACGAGAGTATAACCTCTTCTGCTACATTAATAGTATCTGTACCACTAGGGAAGCTGGTGTCAGTTTCATCACACACACACATTTCCTCAAAATACAACTGACTATGTAGAAGATGTGTTAG